CTTTCTCTCCGCTCCCCAGGGGAGTGCGTGTGTGTGTGTGTGTGTGTGTGTGTGTGTGTGTGTGTGTGTGTGTGTGTGTGTGTGTGTGTGTGTGTGTGCGCGTGCTCGCGTGTGTCAATCAACATAACTCAAGCCTCCAGCTTTGAAAGGGGAAACAGAATCCAAAAAGAGTGAGCGAGACACGGACAGAATGAATAATGAGCATATTCCCTCACAGCTTCACCATGAAGTTCCAGTAAATTATTCCAAGATTTCAGAGTACCTACAAAAATAAACTCATTAGAAAGCATAATACCATAGTCTGTCCATGAGAGATTGAGAACTACAATCATGTTCTGCATTTACGGCAGCATTTCAAACTAAAGAATATTGTGTTGTACTAAATGCATGCAATTTAGTGACTGACTTTGCGTGACTTTGGTGAAATTAGGAAACATTTCATCCGGCAGGTTCTTACCGAGGAAGGAGACACAGACTTTGCAGAAAGTGTTGAACTGGAACTTGTTGGCCGCCTCCAGTAAGGTCTTGGCGTTGGCCGAGTCGATTATGAGGGAGCCGGTGTAAACAAACTCCAGGAGAAGCTCCAGAACATCTGAACTGATGTTGCTCATTGTCAGCTGCATCTTCTCACCGTTTCTGTTCTCCCCCGATAACCTGGACACAGTATGAAGGATGTTAAACCAGAGACCTGCAGGTTGTATCTCAATTGTAGCTGCCAATGAAGGCGGGGTGGAAAGTGTATTTTCAGTGTATAGCTACTTGACTTTAGGTCTGTTCCTCACTCAAAGCTATTGTACGAATTCAGAACAGTGTTGCTATTGTTAACTAAAACTACAACTATTAAAAATGGTTTTCGTTAACTGAAAAAAAGCTGAAATAAAATGTAAATATTGCATGAAATAAACGTACACCTTAAACATTAGAAGAAAAAACTAAAATTAGAAATGCTGAAAATAAAATGAAATAAAATAAGCACTAAAAATAAATAAAAATTAATAAAACCCAAATACAAATAATAATAAAAAATAACATTCATTTCACAAAATGTATTTTTTTACTAGTTTTTATTTTGTTTTTAGTTTAAGTTGCTAGAAATTTGTAACTAAAATTAAAATGAAAACTGAAAATAAAAACTAACTCAAAATATTGATAAAAAAAAAGTTTATTTTATTTTCATTCTAAAACAACTTAACGTTTGTTCTGTTCATCACACAATGCTATCATATGACTTGCTATTATTTTTGTTAACTGAAATAATGCTGAACTATAAATATTAGATGGAAAAACTTAAGCTAAATTATTATTATAAAAATTAGAAATGCTGTCTTGGCAACTAAAAATATTTTAAGTTGAAGTGCTAAAAAAATTTTTTTTAACTAATGAAAAATGAGTTTAGTCAACTCAAAATGAAAATATAAACATTAAAGCTAATTAAAAATATGAATAACTTACTAGAATAGTAATAATACTTAACACTACTTCAGAGGACTTGAATATAGTCGTAAGGACTACATTTCAAGTACATCTTATGGTCCCTTTTGGAGTTTGACGTGGTCACTACATCACTGCATAAAGGTTTTACAATAATTTTACAACGAAAAAACGCAGGATACTGAATGACATGAGGGTAATAAGGGTTTGTTTTTGAGTGAACTATTCCTTTAAGAAGCAATTAAAAACCTATCAAGCAGTGCAAAGTGAAATGGACTCATTTGGAAGAGCATCAACTAAAGCTGCTCAGCGAGTGAGACTCAAAGTCAAGCCTGTGAGTTTCTCTACAGCAGCGCTTGAGGAAAAACCTGAGTGAGTTGCTATGCATTTTCATGCATAATACATGTTTAAAGGCATATGGAGAGTGCAGATTGCCTCGCTGCTGAGATGAGCTGCTCTCCGTATAGAAGAGGGCCGCTGGCTTAGCGTATCTGCTGAGGGCTGATTGGCAGACGGACGCACCGCGGCTTTGGTTTATGCCATTGTCTGGGTGCATGTCTTTAGTCACTAAACCTATAAACCTCAATTATCAGGGATGCTGCAAAAAGACAAAGGTGTCTCGAGAAACAAAAGCTCATAATGATGTTCCATTAATGGACGGCCGCGTCCAACAAGCGGTTAGACTTGTCAGTGAGGTGGAAATATTAATAATGATGATAACCTCTCTTCTGCCTCGGCTTACGCTTCATATTCTACTCCAGACACGCTCATTAAAGGTGAAGTGTGTCATTTCTGAGTCCCTATCAGCAGCAAATGAAACTGTAAAAACTTTGCATTGCGGCAAGAAAATGTAAAGGGTGTTTAAACACATTTCAGGAGAAACACTTCCCTGATGGATAAAATTAAGTTGCATTCAGAAATGCATCTTATTATCAAAGTAAAATGGGTGCATTTTCCTATTGCACTGAAACTGACATAGAATAAAGTATTTTAGCATCAAAAATGACACATTTCTTCTTTAAAACAAATCACAGCATGTGTTTTCCTGAGCCTTCGTGAAGACACTTAAAGGAATAGTTCACCCGAAAATGAGTATGTGCAGAAAATGCGCTCACTCTTAGATTATGTAGATGAGTTTGTTTCTTCATCAGGTTTGGAGAAATGTAGCATTGCATCACTTGCTCACCAATGGATGCTCTGCAGTGAATGGGTGCCGTCAGAATGAGAGTCCAAAGAGCTGATAAAAACATCACAATAATCCACAAGTAATCCACACCACTCCAGTCCATCAATGAATATCTTGTGAAGCCAAAAGCTGTGTGTTTGTAAGAAACAAATTCTTCATTAAGATGTTTTAACATAAAACCATTGCTTCCGGCTAAAATACGAGTCCATAATCCATAACATTTGTTCCTACAGTGGAAAAAGTCATCTTGTTTGAATCAGGACAGAAATCTGCACAGATCAAACACCGCTTACAAGGCAAACAAGTCTAAACTAGTTCTAAATAAATATTTCTTTGGATTTTGATGTAAGAGGACAACAGGAGACGGATTTAAGCGTTATTATGGATTCTGGACACATATTTTGACCAGAAGCGATGGTTTAAAAAGCCTTAATGATGGATTTGTTTCTTACAAACACACAGCTTTTCGCTTCACAAGATGTTAACTGATGGACTGGAGTGGTGTGGATTTTTGTGATGTTTTTTCAGCTGTTTGGACTCTCATTCTGACGGCACCCATTCACAACCCATTCATTGGTTTGCTGTGATGTACAGCTAAATTTCTCCAAATCTGTTCCTATGGAGAAATAAACTCATCTACATCTTGGATGGCCTGAATGTGAGCAAATTTTAATTTTTGGGTGAACTACTCCCATAAAATCTAGATGTATTTATTAAAAATGTACAGACAAACGCATGCTACAAGCGACAGACAGACAGACAGCGTGATGTAAGCAGGGAAGGAAAGGAGGGGATAGAAAATCAGTTCTGCCACAGGGAACCAGCAGCCATCCTACAGGGAAAGGGACCATTCCATGACTGGGATGTGGATTTACTTTCAAACACCTGCCAAAACAGAGTTCAACACGGCCTGCGTACGAACGTGACATTAGTCGTTATAAGAGCTTGGACTTGGAGGAGGCAAAAGGCAGAGTATGAGGTGAGGTGGGTGTCTCTGGCGGTTTCTGAAAAATCAAGAAATGTTACTCCTGAAAAGAAAAACAAAAATGCAAAGTTTATTGCTGTCAGGTATAAGTGGAGGAGGAGAAATAGTAAGAAAGAAAAGGCAAAAAAAGGAGTCGACCATTAAGAGGTGGGAAAGAAAAAGAAAACTGAGATTCAGCCCTCTCTCTGTCCCTGAGATCACGCTCACACTCGCACTATTTCCACACTTTTCTGGCCATGATTTTATTCTGAAGTATGATCACATGTCTGCCCTGAAAAAAAAATCTATATGGTTATCAAAATCACACTTTTTACCCACGGACTATGACTATTATATTATTAGACTGGGATAAAACAGTGACGAAAGTACGGCACTTAAAAAGGGGAAAAAGCCTGAATGAAGGAGTACTTATAATATCTGCATGACTGCATTTTGGATATTTTCTCAGGCAGCATCAAGCGCGCATATATATATATATATATATATATATATATATAAAACAAATAATTAATTCATCATTTTATTAATGCATATTTAATAAATAAATAAAAATAAAGGAATAAACAAATACATAAAAATAAATGAAATAGAAAATAAATGAATGCATAAATAACATGTGCATGGATAAATAATAATAATAATAATTTAAAAAATGCTCAGAAAAAGAGCTTTTTGGCCATACTTTTATTCTCAAGTATAAAACGCATGTCTGCCCTGAAAAAAAGAAAAGAAAAAGAAGAAAAAAAATTATATGGTTATCAAAATCTTTCTTTTTATCCATGGACTATGACTATTATATTGATTAGACTGGGAAAATACAGTGATGAAAGTATGGCACTCAAAGGGGGAAAAACCTTTTAAGAATGACAGGGGTCTCTAAAATAGACACAATTTCCATTTTTCCCATTTTCCAGGAAATGTCGAGCACACTTAAATTGCCTACGTCCTTGAGAGAAAAAGCGGTCTGAAAAATCTATAAATGTGAGTGCTTGCTTTGTTTCTGTGTTCGCTGACATTACATTCTGTCAGACAACATTATATCTGATTACACACCTCAGCACAGTTTAATCAGCAACTGCTTTCATGAAATCTTCAGTGCAAATGTGTTATTTGAATGGCAAAGTGTCTTTTTTTTAGGTGAAACTAATTTTCTAGCCGTGCTTTATGTATAATTTACTTCTTTAGCTGATCATCAGCCTACAGGGGTTTGCACGTCCTTTTGGCTGCAAGACTCTCAAAAACTCCTCTTAAACCATCAAACTAGACCAGCTGAACCAGCGGGAAAAAAAGTTTATGCATAAATAAATGCATAAACAAACGAATGTGTAAACACGTGCAAATAAATAAATTCATAAATAATGAATATATGTTTATTTATAAAATATTATTTATTTTTATATTAATATAATATTTCACATAAAATAAATATTCTATAAATACATAAATGCATAAAAAAATGAAATCAAAATAAATGAATGCATAAACAATATAAAAAACGTAATCAAAGTAAATGCACGTGCATAAAGTCAAATAGATTCATGCATAAATGCTTAAATGCATAAATAAATGTGAATCATGAATAATTGTTCATTATGATAATTTTGTGATTATACTCTCCAAACAATGGACTATATTAACTATATATTAATTATATTATCTTATGCCTATATTGATTCTTCCAGACATAAAAAGCTAAGAGGATCAAAAGAAAGCAGCAAAAAAATTACAAGTGGGCATCAAACCACTAGAACCTCTGAGTTAAGTGTCCAGTTTAATAGAACAAAACAAATCAAGAGTTGTCAAACTAAAGTGGGCTCTTCAACGCCAGCTATCCGTCTCAGACTAATAACGCAGTGTCTATGCTAATATATACGTGAAAACATGATGGATGCACTGCAAGAAACAAAGCACAGATATTCAATAAAATCCAGCAGACAGGCTGAGACAGACAGTTCTATGTACATAAACGCATATAAACGTCAGATTGAACATTATGAAGTCGAACTGGATTGAACTTTCTGTTCAAATGCATCACATTGCTTTAATTCTGCTTGACAAGGTTACGTATTTTCGACTTTGTGAAAAGGATAAAGAAACGCACGGAGCTAATGTATTTTTCAACTGAATGGTGATGATGTGACTATATGGCTTTGTTCTGGAACCTGATGAGCCACCTACAGGCATCATATGTGCACGATTATACTGGTAGAATGCATTCTAGAATGCATTGCGTCAAGTTCAGTGAAAAAAACATATCAAACTGAGAATTATTTAAATAAACAGTGTGTATATAAAATATAAACTTACTCTAAACTAAATAAAATAAATAAATAAATGAATGCACAAAATAAAATCATAAATGCATAAATCTATAAATAAATTAACATGTCAATATATAAATAAATTCATAATTGCATAAATAATTGCAATGAATGCCAATAAATTTATGCATAAACGCACATATGCATAAATTCATAAACACAAATAAATAAATGCATGTGCATAAATAAACTAAAAAATGCATTAATATAAAAGCAGAAATGCAAAAAAATACAAGAGCATATATGCATAAATGCATCAATCCATAAATACATGCATAAATGAATACACGTGTAAATAAATGTATAAATAAATTAATAATTGCATAAAAGCAGAATGTTTGTGAATAAATAAATGCTGAAATAAATAAAAACAAAACCAAAATAAATGAATGCACTGACACAAAATAAAAAAGCTGAAGTCAAAAATAAATACATGTGCATATATATATATATATATATTGCATAAACAAAGCATTAATACATTTTTGTGAATCATGAACTTCATCATGATATCAGTCAATTGCTGAGTCAATATCAATGAGTCAATGTTCCTGTGGCTCAGTGGTAAAGCATTGCATTAGCAGCGCAAAATGTTGTGGGTTCGATTCCCAGGGAACACACATACAGGTAAAAGATGTATAACCTGAATGCACTGTTAGTCGCTTTGGATAAAAGTGTCTACTAAATGCATAAATGATTATAATTATAATAATTTTGTGAGTCCCATGTGCATGATGCGTTTCAGATCAGTTAGGATGTTGCCTTGGTAGCACACTAGGTTCTACAGAAATGTTTCCTCTACGTTTTAAAACCGACAACCTAGACGTCACTATGAGTGTGAAATTCCCCATCCGGAGCCCCTAGTTTCTGTGCTTCCAGAGGCAGTGGAACTCAAATCGCTTTGCGAGGTGTATCAGCACATTTTATGCTTCACTGAGAACAAACTTCGGAGTTATTGCTCCTAATGCAGTTTTCATTGCTGCTGCTCGAGATAGATCAGCTCGACTCAGACTAAATTCACAATCAACCGCCCGAGATTCCCAGGCACAATCTCTCCTGGAAGCTGAAGTACATGCATCACGATATATAGATATCAGATGGGAATATGAAAGCATTACAGCGATTTCACATGCCAAGCCAACTGAAATCTGTTCGTTCTCTGTGTTCAACGTCCTGGATTAGGTTTAATTTGATGTGACTGAAACTAGGCTGAGAGGGATAGATGAACACGTGTGCAATCAGTTGTACTGTAGTGCACTTTCATTAACCCTGTACAGTTTACTGTATCATATTTGATACGCAAATTTCTAAGGCTTTTAAATGATCAACATGACCAAAACTTGTTGCACACAATCTATTTCATAATTGTACAAACGTCCCCCTTCAGTTTGAGGTTTGCTGTAAAATCTTTACTGATTTTTATAGTAAACATAAGAATAACTTTTATATTATTAGTAATATTTCAAGATGAACCAGGTTTACTTTATTATCCATTATCATTTTTTTTTTTTTGAAAAATCATGTTCAAATGTATAATGTAATATGATTATCAGGCTTTTGAGGAGCGTTTATTTGTTCATCTCTCAGTCATCATTGGATTGCATTGCATTATATGTTGTGATGTTTTTTCTCAATATTCTTACTATATCATACTATATGAGCCATAAAAGCCTCATGTATCAAATATGATACTCAACAAAAATGCATATGCAAACCTTTTGGTAAAAAAAAAATAAATAAACTGCTTTTTTTCTGGCTGTTATTTCATATGTCAGGCTTTACAGGGTTAAAAATACCTTTAGTAATTTTTCAAAAAATGTCTACCTTTGAAAATTTCTTTCTGCTAGCTAACAAAAGTCAGGTTCCAATCAAAAGTATCAATTTTAAAGGTTAGCTCCAACAGTTCACCACAAATTTACTGCCAACATTTTGCCACAAAGCTCATTTGCATATGGAAACATGATTTTGCTGTAAATGTGTGGCAAACTTCGCCTCACGGGTTCCCCAGAAGGGCACGTGACACACACACACAACAGATGCTGGAGTTGTGCGTTTCTTTGCCTGTAAACATGATTCAGTATCAGGCTTTCCTCATAAATAACATGCAGTCAGTCTTACGGCTCTGGGACTCCCGACTGCTGAGATCAGCATTGATACAAGACGGCAAAGTCGGCAAAAAAACCTTGAATTTCCCGAAGCAGAAACGAGATCCGCGCATGCAGTTCCCTTAATCTCGAAGCGGTGTGTGAATTTCCAGAGTGAGTCACAGCAGGTAAAAGGTCAAGTGGGACGGCTAAAACATCCCGTCTAAGCACTTGACACAGACAACTGAGCGCAGCGCTGATCCAATATGCCTAACGCATCCCTAAAATCTGCCTTTCATTTGTTTTGACATTTACAAAGCATTTAAAACCAAAACCCCCAGTCATGGAAATTCTTCGCCCATTTAAATGCAAACCGGCACACGTAGTGAATGGAGATGAAAGGGTCAGATCGGTCGACACCTTGACCTTTTTCAGCAGTGAAATACGTTCGCCGGTGGGACAGACAGAATGGCTACTGGCCCTGTGACAGGAACCGATGTCTTCAGACCTGCAAGAGACAGGGAGGGAAAAGGAGGCGACACAAAAGCACCCTATGAAAAGAACAGAACAGATCAAGGATGGGAGGAAAGCAAACCTTTTCACCATGTCCTTGAAATACAAGCTGCAGGAAGCTAGAACATTTTGATGGACTTCAAACTCTTTGCCTTCAACAATTATTTTCAGGTCTGTAAACTCTTTCTCTCGCCGCTGCTGGTTCAATTCCTTCAACATTTCTGTAGAACAAGAGAAAGAAGAGAAACAGTGATTTTCGGACCATCTGAGATCCAAGCACACAGCATATGATGACAAAATCAATCATTACTCGAAGAAAAACAGGAAATTATCTGTTTGTGCAAATAAAAGGCTGGAATGGAGGAATACATCTGGAATGGAGGAATACCATCAAGCATGAAGGAAAAACAACAACAGAAATGAAGAGCAGAAGTCAGCGCTGTCATTTCTGTCATGCTGAACTTTATCAGTATGATGTCTGCAGCTTTGATTGAAAGGAATACTTCAGCCAAAAATGAAAACGCTGTGCTTATTTTTTTTTTTCACCAACATGTCATTGCAAACCCTTCGTTGTGTTCTTTTCAGACATTTCATTTTAGGATGTACTATTCCTTTTTACACACAAATACAACACTATAGTCAGGTTCTGGAAATAAAAATTCCATTCACATTCTTCATGTCATTTATTATTATTATTTATTTTTATTACTATTATTATTATTGCTAAAAATAAGCTTTGGTCACTCACACACACACACACATATATATACATATATATATATATATATACATATCATTATATTATGATTGCTGTAATATAATTATATTTTAATACAATATACACATCTTTATTTTAATACAACACATTAACAAGTTGCATTACAGTAATTTATGGTTTTGTTTTTCTCTGTTTCTTCAAGCTATATTTGTATTCTTTAGTAATTTGTTATAACACTATAACAAATAAAATTTTTAACTAGAGCCCGACCGATATATCGTTTAGCCGATATTATAGGCCAATATGAGCCTGTCGCCGATATATTGGTATCAGCGAATATGTCAGAACATATATATATATATATATATATATATATATATATATATATATATATATATATGTATAATATATCAGAAGGACAAACTTAACTAATTACACCATTCAGAAGCATGGTGTAAAACATAATCTGCGTTATGTGTTCTGTATGTCAGAACATATATATATATATATATATATATGTATAATATAACAGAACACATAACGCAGATTATGTTTTACACCATGCTTCTGAATGGTGTAATTAGTTAAGTTTGTCCAGCAGAGCACGCTCCATTGTTTGCTACTGGCGACCCAGGTCAGTGTAGTGTAGAGATGCTCGGATAAGCTCAAACTTCACCCGAGTCCGCTGCTTCAAATTATCTGCCCGCCACCCACCCGCACCTATATTTGCATATTTACAATGATTCTAATTCTTAGTTTTGCATTATGATATGATGAAATGGATGGTTCATATTTAACAGCAGATTCAGTGACGTTAGAGCCTAGAGCTGATTTGCGCATCACGACACGCGTCTGCGGCGCATTAAAGCCTGTGTTAAACCCACCGGAGCTGATGGCGGTCACTCAGTCAATGCTGGTTTTTATCCTGGCCGCGTACACATACACACACATATACATACATATATATATATATACATATACATATATACATATACATATATACATATACATATATACATATACATATACATATATACATATACATACACATATATATATACACATACGTACATCACACTTGACGTGGTTCATTGTTTGCTCATAACTGAGTCACTTAATCATGCAGATTTATGCTACAAGCTTTTGTAGAAATGTACAGTAAGGAAGTTATTTCCCTTAACAAGGAAATTAACATTCTTAGAATTGACAAGACGGTTGACCCTGAGAGGTCAGCTAAATATCTACAGCGGGTCTAAATATTCATAACTAATTATAACTAGTTATGATTAATTATTCATATTTCCTCATGAGCTGATTTGTTACAATATATCTGTGAATATTAAACTGCAAAAAGACGATTTAAATACGAATGTTCTGCATGTTCATTGGATTACCAGAAAATACACAACACCGAGTTTGTGAAAAAAAATATTATTCATTATTATTATTTATTCACTTTACATTAGGAAAAGCTGTTCTTCTGGCATAAACCTGCCCCTATTGGTTTGGCAGTAGCTTGCTTGCCCTACACAGTTACCTTGTTTAATTACTTAATTCAAGTTATATATAGTTTGTTCTATTTGTGTTATTCAAATTATTTATTATAAGTGAAGTTTACTGTTAAGTGCACTGATGTCAGACTCATTTTGAATAATAAAGTTTATTGTTAAATTGATAAATACCCTGCCTCCATTACAAAGGCCTTTGTTTTAACTAGTTATGATTAATTATTCATATTTCCTCATGAGCTGATTTGTTACAATATATCTGTGAATATTAAACTGCAAAAAGACGATTTAAATACGAATGTTCTGCATGTTCATTGGATTACCAGAAAATACACAACACCGAGTTTGTGAAAAAAAATATTATTCATTATTATTATTTATTCACTTTACATTAGGAAAAGCTGTTCTTCTGGCATAAACCTGCCCCTATTGGTTTGGCAGTAGCTTGCTTGCCCTACACAGTTACCTTGTTTAATTACTTAATTCAAGTTATATATAGTTTGTTCTATTTGTGTTATTCAAATTATTTATTATAAGTGAAGTTTACTGTTAAGTGCACTGATGTCAGACTCATTTTGAATAATAAAGTTTATTGTTAAATTGATAAATACCCTGCCTCCATTACAAAGGCCTTTGTTTGTCACATCATTATAAGTGTTTAATCACCACATTTGAGTTATTGCAAAAAATGTGTTTATGTATATATATTCTGTTTATGTAGGCTATATACACTGTATTCTATCTACAGTAGCAGTCAGAAGTTTGGACACACGAATGGGAAGTGTGTCCAAACTTTTGACTATACTGTACTATAATATAGCCTACACATAAAGAATATCGGACAATATATCGGTATCAGTCTTTTTTTTACTCCCCAATATCGGTATCGGCCCCCAAAAACCCATATCGGTCGGGCTCTATTTTTAACTATGTATACACCTGTATAGACTTACGATATATAATGGATATAATGAAAATTCAGTAAAACTATTAAAATTATAAAACTTTGTTCTGATGTTTTGCCAAGAACGATAATGATATTTTGGGGGACAATGTGATTAATTGCCATGACAATAATGTCACAAGGCAAAACAACAAAAACAAATAATATATATATAAATGGAATTATACACACACACACACACACACACACACATAAACAAAGTGTGTCCTAACCTTTGGTCCTAGGCCTTTGGGACAAAAAAAGGCCCAAAAAAGCCTATTTTTCTGAAAATAATAATCATAATAATTTATAATTTAACTTTTTTTTTCTAAATATAGGGTTATATATAAATATATTATCTTTTTTTTCTTCTTGAGATTTTGGGATAAAATATAACTGGTAAACATTTACAATGTTCTCCAGTGATGGTCTTTTCAGTTTTAAGATTAGCCCAAAACTTCCTCATGTCCAGGAAATTATGCTCATCAAATTATAATTATAAGGTGAATATATGCATGAGTCATACCTGACATGATTTATGTATAATTAATCATCTCTGAACCCAAAGCGGAATGATTTTATGTGCTGGAATAACTTCATCAACTCCCAAAGCCCCTGAAACAGCAGGACGCCGTGATCGCGACAGGTATTCATGACTAATAAGAAGCGACCACAAACAGCAGCTGATATACGACGAGACCCAATTCTGTGCAACAAAGGATATTGCGCTTCTGAAAATAAACACATTCAAAGTCACTTCTGCATTTCATGTGCTGGCTTTCCGTGCAGTCATTTGAATAATTGGCCGGTGTAAGCGTCTCAGCTTCATTAGAGCAACACGTCACACGCCTCTGACAGCTGTTCCACAGACGTCTGACAAACTAATAAGGAAAAGGACATGCGATTATCTGCCTAAAATGTTCCCTATTAATTTGAGCCAGGGATAGCATGGATGGCAGGAAATTATTCTCCATTTAAGTGGGTCAGTGTTCTCTGGAGAAGACCATAATCATAAAATAGCACAGGGCAGTCTAGCGGGACCAGGAAGGGAGATTTTAAAGGAAAATTAATGCATTTGTAATTGTTATTAACATTTGCGCATGAATCATTTGTGTTAAAACGAACTCCAGTTCCATTTAAACCTGGAAATAAACTTTTTAAAACGGAGGACAAAGAAAAGCTAAGGCTCAAAATAAAAAAAGAAATATTGAAGCTTGTGCACAATTTCTAGGTCACTAATCAAACGCAAGCACACTTTGTGACTTTCTTGCTCGTTCCGAAGCACAAGTTCATGCTGGAGAACACGATCATCAGCTCCGGGGCAAAAAAAAGACCTCTCTGTATATCCATAACATTATCCTTCGGGATTCTAAAGGGATTACAGGTAATAATGTTGTAAATAATATTCAGTTTCTTGCACAGGCCGGTTGTTTTGCTTCATAAGACCTCAATATATTGTCAGGAGCCATGCATATTAATTTTGTCTTACCTGAATATGCTTTTTTTGACTCTTAAAGTGCCGGTAGCTGCTGACTTGCATTTTATGAATCACCAAGGATCACCGTTTCAGCTAAAAACCTTCTTTACTGCTCTACTGAAAAAAAAAAAAGTGAGTAAATTAGCAACAAATTTTAATTTTTCAACTATCCCTTTAAGGCACTGAATTTTCTTTGCGTTTACATTTAAAAGGCATAAAGACACTTCTGAATGGCTCAAGAGTGTTACGCTATGAGACGGCGAGAACAGATATATTAATCCGATTCAGTCTGCCGCTCCTCCAAGAGCACTTTCCTCTCTCGGTGGAACTGGAAAGAATGCAGAAGCTCGTGAAATGTGTCCTTCCAGAACAAAAGAGGTGTGAATCAATAACAATGGAGCTATAGATATGAGATGAGGAGTTCTCGAGCATGATCTCTGGCAGGCCACACACACCGCGAAGGTAGGAATACATGCATACAAACCAGAGCGATCTCAATGAGACTATTGTACCATCTCTTTTTTCTCAGATTAAGTCAAGCACGCAGCTCTTGATGCAAGAAAGAGGAAACTATA